AAAAAAATTTGGGAGGGACTACTGCAATCCTGCGATTGATTACAAGATCTTATGATAGATTACAAATATTTTAGAGATATAAAAATAATAACGTCGATATATTCTGAATAATAATTTTGATATATTCTAAAAAATAATAATAATTGCGATATATTCTTAAAAATAATAATTGGGATAGATCGTTGTCAACTTTATTTATTAAGATCTAATTTCATCAAAATGATCATTAATTTTATCATGTCAAAATTCAATTTTATCAATTAACATCAAATTCACCTTCAATTTTACTTATTAAAATTTAATTTCATCAAATTAATACCAAGTGATAATTTTGTCAAGTGATGTTTAAATACAAATTATAAAGGGCGTTAGTAACGATCAATCTGGTGATAATTTCAAATTTAAGAATTTCATTGTTAATTTGATAAAATTGACAGTCAATTTGGTGATAATTTGATGAAATTGACAGTCAATAACAATATGCCTTTCATGCAACTAAGTTTTCTCTGCCCGTTATTGGAGGCATTATACAGTATTTATAGAGCTGTTCCTTGATCTGTGGGATCTCTGCCGAGATCCTAGCCTTTCATCCGTGGATTACTCTTTGATTTTTGAAGAATATCTTGGTTGGTTAAAGGTTTTTATGCCTTGGATATGGCTTTTGGCCGCTTATTGGGTTTCAGCTAACATCCAGTTGTTCCCTTATCATTTCCGTTATTGTCTCGTTTGGAGGGAGCTCTGGCTTCGATCCTCTGAGTTCTGCGTGTTTTGCCTGACCTCCTTGTCTAACCTCTGTGCCTGAGCTCATACTTTGGAAGTTATTATATGTATCATCAAACTTAATATCCAACAAACTAATACTTCCCTTTGCCTCCTTTAACTGAATTCTGGCTTCTTGGAGTTCTGTGGTACAATTTATGAACTCCCACTCCTCATCATCAACACCAACATTTCTATGAGACACCATCTGAGCAATTGATAAACACAGACAATCATGTGCCAAGCCAAGTATATGGTTCACATCTTTGATTGTCATCCAAGGAGAAACGTCTGGATTTACTAAAGAAGTCCGCTAAGAAAGAATGAGTTAGACTCATGATGGAGCATTGTGGGTATGAAGTTTTGATCATGTCAAATAATTGAACTACGACAAAGAGTGGAAGTTGATTTTCGTATAAAAATAAATCATGAATTAGGCCAAATTGAACCTGATTCATGGTGAGAGGGTCACCCTCGTTTACCAAATTATGGAAATTGTATTTTACGATAAACTCGAGGAGAAAGCACCCGTCAAAAAGCATCATTTCCACAAACTCATTATCACTAAGACTGATTGGTTCTAGATAACATTTGCGCGCTCTATCTTTTAGGTCTCTCGTGGCCATATAGTATCTTTCGACACTTGACTCTTGCGCTTGTGTAAGGAACTCTTGTAAATACCGCAATTTGTGTTCTTTCATCGCCTGCAGGTTGGGTTTCCCATGGTGATATGGACCAATAACGATTATTTCAGGTTCGTATGCTTTCACATTTATCCTGCGCAAATGATCATACACTCTGAAGAGGTTACAATCAGGGGGTATTGGAGATAAGCAAGCAAGTTTCTGGTCTATACTTGTATAGGAATGATCAGCACTTTGTTCGAACATGATTTACTCCTTGAAGCAAAATATAAGGTTCCTGTGGCAAACATGTTTTGATGAAAAGACAGTTGAGTTCTCATCCCTAAAATCAAAATTTGGAAAATATTACCACAACATGGCAAAGTTTGAAAGATATTTCCCACCAAACAACTACTCAACTAGTTTTATGTTGTGCATGCATGATTGCTATTTTTTAATCGAAACAAAAAAAAAAGAGGTAAAATCATATCAAATTCTTCTTCATTATATTAAGGAAGGAAAGGCAAGCGAGGAAAGTTTTTATAGCAAAGCCATACATTTTAGATTCATAGTTGAAAAACTGTTTAACACTGAATTCAGTTAATATTTTTTCAAAAGTAGAGCACTCAATGTGCATTAGTGAAAAGCTCAATTACATATAATCAGGCCCACTTGAATTTTTGAAGAGCAGCCTACACTTGAGATAAATCATATTGGATGGGATCGAAATCTTTTTCTAATAGTGACTTCATTATGCCTTGTCATGTTAACCCAACCAAGGTGATCAAGGACTAATATTGATGTAGAAATGGATGTGGTTTTGACAATTCTATCAAATAATCCACAAGAGGATTGCAATTTTTTATCTCATGAACTTTCAAGGCATATAATTAACATACTGAAAATGAATGCAAATAAGCCGAGCCAATTCATGTCATCTCGTTAATGAAGAGGATGATTATAATAGTATTTTTTTAAAACACAATTGTATATCAGTATTAAAGGCTAATCCAAAGAGAGACAAGACAAAGGTCCTGATAGAGAGTAGAGTAAAACATCCAAAGAGGGATAGAATAGATCAATCTTTGTGTTTGATAAGAATCGACCCCTAACCTTCTATTTGAGAACGTCGGCTTGGTCAATTGTATAGACCCTGTTGGTTGATTATGAGAGTGATTTGGGTACTAATTATCTGGCATGTGAAAACTGCGAAACAAAAAGAAGATAATAAAAGACAAACAAAGGTTTGAAACTTAATTGTTTGAATTTTCACTCACATGCTCGTCTGCTATATCTTTTCTTTAGACTTGATTTTCCCTTCTTTCTACACTTGATTTTATAGTAATTTAGAATTCTTTGCTACTCAATTCACGCAATCTATATGGTTCAAAGAATTTTCTTTAATAAAAGTGAGACAAAGGACAATAATTGTCCAAAATCAAGAATATCTTTGTGGACGCATCATGTGAGATACGTGACCATTTTCGATATCAGCAACTATTTGAGTTTGGAGTGTGAAAATGATTGATAAAGTTCACGAGACAATGTGATAAAGATTAAGAGGACAATTGCCACCAAATGCTTAAAGATGGTGGCCCATAAAGGCCAGCATGTTGTGAGGAGAAAACTTATATTACGACAAATTGATCTGCAGAGCTATATATGAAACAAGTAGCAAATAGAGGGAAAAAAAACAGTAGGATACTTGTATATGTATTAAATTCAGAGGATTGAGTTTTGAAAAACTTATACTTTTCAGTCCTTGCGACGGAGATATTATGTGAAGATGAGATAAGAAAGAAGAAGTAGAAGCAACTCTTGATAGAAAGGAGGTAGAAAGAATACATATTTATAGGCAGTTGATTTCTTCTTTTTCGTTATTCAACATGCAACATTTCAGTTTGAGTTAAAGAGAGAGATTATTAATGTCCTCAACTTGTCTTAATTTAACTATATCACTTTGAGTTTTATAATATAAAATTCTTGAATGGAAACAAAAACATGGAGGCAAAGAAATTTCCAAGCAAGAGCACAGGAGATACCATAAATTTCGAGCTTTCACATTGCAGGGGAGTAGTAATCTGGTGAAGGTATCTTTTGTCCTTTTTTTTTTTTATTATTATTATTGCTTGAATAAATTACACTTTGATCTCAACTCTACCTGACAGTGATCTCACTTCATTCTTGAACTATTGATTTCTCACAGTATCCTCCACTGTTTGAATTGGTTTTACATTAACCCATATACAAAAATCCGTCATCTTTTTAGGTGGATAACATTAATGTATCTGGGCACAGTGAAAAAAATGCCTTTAACTTAGAGAAGACAAGTTCAAACATCTTTCCCTCAAATTTGCAACGAAATGTAAAATTAATAGGATAAAGCTGTGCTGCAAAAATTATTGTCCAAATCTTGTATCTCAAATGATGTGTTAAAATCTCATGCATTGAATATTTGGTGGAGTTAGTAGACCCCATTAATCCAACCACCTACGTTGATTTGGGATACAAAATTTGGACAACAATTTGATCAGTATAGCATTGCTTAAATTAATAATCATAACAATTGAGGGGGCAATAACGCTAGTTTGTCACATCATTTATCAAACACAGATTCAATTGTTTTAGAATAAAACGGTTTTAGATTCAATCGTTTTAGAAAAACACCGTTTTAGATTCAATCGTTTATCAAACACATCATTTTAATAATTTTTTTATACCGCAATTTTCAATTGCTCACCAATTACGATTATAGATCCCCTTCCAACCACTCCTCTGTCCCTTGTGTTGCACCACCACCTTAAGCTCGCTCCATATAGTGCAAATCACAAATACCATATGGTATTCCATCACCACCACCACCAAGAAAGAAAATAAAAGAAAAAAAGTATTAAGGAGATCTAGATCTGCACATGGTACATTGAGGGCATAAACAAACACCAAGTAGAGTAGTAGACTCTTTGAACTTGGCTCGTATATGTAAGGATACATTTGTTTTCATGGATTTAGATGGGTGTAGAAGTCATTGATTAGATTTGGCTCTTTATTAAACGAGATTTAAAATTGAATTTGAATATAGTTAGTTGTATAAATGAAGGAAATTGGAGGAGTTCTAATCCTAACCATTAATTGAGATTTAAAATTGAGTTTGCCATTGCTCCCACCAAGCGGAAGCTCCCCTAAATAGTTTGTACGTTACTAATTTCACCTTTTTATCTTCAAGAATATCCATATAATCAAAAAACCTCTCGACCTATATCAACCAGTCAAGAAACCCCTCGATCTGAAGTTGTCCATTAAAACTGGGCAGGTCCATCTTCATACAAAAGGTCTGTCGATCTTGTTCCCCTTGGTAATCCATCCGAGTATTCTGGAGCATGGCTTCAGCATCTTTCTCATCCTCACTCGAGTTATCCTCATAGGCTAGCTGCCTGTGTGGATTCTCTGGATGGAGTTCACGAAAAACTTCAGCCCACTTTCAGTAAGGTTGACGACACTTAGGACCGTCGCCCCGCTGATTAATCCCTGTCGTCAGCCTAGCAAGAGTCTCTTGGACCTCCCGCAATGCTTGCTGGGTCTCACATTGGAAAGTTCTGAATTCAGCCCCTGTAACCATATCTTCCTCACGGTCACCAACGTCAAGGACTTCGCTTTCATTCCAAGCATTCACCATCTGAACAGGTTTAAGCTTGTTCTAATACCAAATGACGAAGTGGTAGCATATGAAGAAGTAGGACACCGCCTGCTTCTTGGAATGATTGTTCGAATCCACGAACAAAGAATAAAAAAACAATACACTCGAATCCATGAGCTCAAAGAATGGGATTTCGAAAAGAAAATTCTTTATTGAATCAAAGTTAACCTTACAGTGAAAAGAAATAGTCTTTATATAGGCTGCAAAACCTAATTCGACTAGAACTGTAACTTTAGTAAAGAAATAACTAAAATAAGGAAAAATACTAAAAATAAACAAATTCTAATTAGGTATGTATATCATATATTTGTATAATATATTACTCGTGTCCACCCAAAGACAGAGACAAAAATATGAGATCCACCATTATAATATAGCGAATATGTATTTTAAGTATTTCTTCAATATTTTTAATTATGTCCACCCTATTTTTTTAGCACATCAATTAATGTACACTTATATCAAATGACCAATTTTAATTGTATCCACCTTTTTTTTTTTTGGCATATCAATTAGTGTATACTGATAGATTTTGGTGGGTTGCAAAAAAAATTATGACATGGTAATGAGGCACTATCATCCTTTTATAATAGGTTAGATGCATTTCTTATGATTCACGTATTCTATGTCAAGTTTTCCTAGAGCTTTCATTTACAAAAGTTATAAGAATAAGAATTGTCATAACTCAGAAGACAAGTATGTTCCATATGTGAAATGAAAGATGTTTGTCGTGGGAACACTTAGATAAAGTAACAAAAGTTGCCCTTAAGTTTGCCATCAATAGGTTGGCCACCTACAAATGATTCACATTGTTTTCCAACATTTCACGTAGTCTTGTGAAGCCCTCGTATATCTTTCTATTAAAAAAGTGAAACTTAAAAATAATAACTGTCACAAGCCAAGAATGTTCTACCTATGAAGGTGAAAATGTTTGTCATGGGAACATTGAGTTAAAGTAATCCATGTGGAGTCCTCTCTGAATTCTCTTTTACAAAAGTTAAAGCAGCTGGGAAAGTGGAGATTGTTCTTCATGGAGACAACTATTTTGGAATGATGTTTTGTATCTTTAAAGAAAAATTTCAATAATGAAAAGTCTTGCATTGCACATTGAGAATATTTTGAAAAAAAGCAATGAGTCCCATTTATTCAATAACGTCAAAATTTTCATTTAGTTGACATAACACATGTGACATACATGATCTAATTAGGTCACGTTTTGTTATTTTTTAATTAATTTTAGTATTTCAGTACTATTTATACTCTTGTAAGCCTTAGGGCTAAGGAGTTTTGGATTATTCAATATAATTGAGAGAGTTCCTTTTTTTATTCTCAATTCTTCTGGTATTCTTAGAAATCAACAGAGTTTTTGAAGTCTTTAGAGCTGATTTTTTTGTTAATCAACATACCCCTAGAATTGAAATATAAATATATATTTGTGCGCAAATCAAAGGTTTATTTTCATTATTCTTTTCGTTAATTATACCATTGATTCGTTATCTTCTTCCAAGCATCGAAGACTCAAATCTTCAATGGTCAGCGTTCACACTCTTTAAAAAATTGAATGGTTGTATTTCACTCTTCTTTAAATTTGGGTTTGTCCTCCTTTAATTTAGATTTCTTCATTGAAGTGTTTTGTATCAAATTAATATTTTTATTCCAATGTTCATTTAAATTTAATTAAAAATTTGAGTCAAAACTACAGATAGTCCAACAAGGTTAAAAAACCCTCACATATAAATATATCATCTTACTTTTATGGATTAAAAAAATATATATATTTAAAGTAATCACTCAAGAATGGTATGGTCTTTTAGCTCCGTCCGTGTTGATGGTGGAATTGAGTTGTTGTTCTATAAATTCCTTAAAAGTAATATACATGACACTTCTTCTAAAAGTTCTCATATGCAATCAAATTTATGAGTAATAGCTCCATGTCATCACCAATAATAAAAGGCGGGATTCTCATAATTCCATTTTTGAACTCTATATCCATCCATGGTTCAGGAACTTTGCCTCTCTTAAATTTAATCCCGGCATTTTGATGCTCCGTGGCACATCTTGGTAACTCTGAATAGGAGATGGTGACATCATGCAAGTCATCCAGAAATGAAGGACGTGTGGCATAACGCATGACGCCTAGAAGATGATGCAAATTTACCTCCCTAGGTGGACTTTTAAAATGAGGATGGAGCATTAATCTAGTTCTCCCATTGATGTAACTCCATAAAGCGCCTTCCACTGAAAAGTCTGGTCCGTTGGCCTCGCTCGATAGGCGGATGGGGACAAACAAAGATAGCTGATTTTCAAATAACAGTATATCTCGAACTAAAATATTCTGAATTCGGTCCGATTGCAAAATATTCATTTTTCTTGCCTCTGAAGACATAAAATTTCTAAGTAATTCCATTATAAAAATTCCGTCGACAAGCATCATTTCCATAAACTCATTCTTAGTAAGTTGAACGGGTCTGCATAACAATTCCTTGCTTTTGCTTCTATCTCTTTCATGGCGTTGACATATCTATACAAACTCTGGTCATTTATTCTTCTAAGAAACTCTTGTATGTAGCGTCGTTTGTGTCCTTCCATCATTTTTAGGTGGTCATTTTTACGGTGATAAGAACCAATTGCAAGCATTTCTGGTTTATAGGCCCTTTTGTTTTGTTTGTGTAGTAGCTCATCCACTATAAAGATATAAGATTCAACAGACATTGTATGTGATGAGAAAGCACACTTCTCACAAATGTAAATATATAGCTCGTACATTTGGTATTTCTTCAAAATATGTAAGTACAAGATTATATTTCAACCAAGATTATGTTTCAACAATTTGATTTTTTTGAAACTAAACAATTACTAAAACTCAAGTTTAGGTATCATTAGATAATGCTTTTCTTAAATAGTCTTTGGCAAGACTCATGCCATATAGATAAAGTAATTGAAAAAAGTGAAAAAGCGAAGAAAGTATTTTAAAAGAAATTATCGAATGTTTTGTATATAATTAAAATGTGGATGCCTAATATTTTTCATGAAAATATGTAAATAATTCATTTATTGATAGTTATTAATATTTCAGTAATTAATACAAGAATTAAAAATTATTTTGTATCTTTGTAGAATGCTAGAATATGTACGTACCTTAGACAAGTTCAAATGTACCACAAGAAAATTTATGAGAAGATGATAAATGAATATAAAATTTATCAAAGCATGACCCGTGGGTTAGCTCCTCCATTAATTTAATTTTTCAGAAGTACCCATGGGATCACAAAAAGAGCCCATGGTTTTTTTTTTTTAAAAAAAAAAAAACAGAACCCGTGGTTGTCTCATTCATTGTCAAGCCCACAAGTGACAATCCAGAAAAAAGCCTATTCATCTAAAAACATCACGGTGAAAGTTGTAAACAAAAATAAAAATAAAATGTAGATATGAGGTGATTTTATTTAATTAAAAATAACTCAACAAGGAAATGACGACATAAGTATGTTGAAATGCTAAGAATCAAAAGTAAATATGTTGAAAACTCTCACAGAAAATTCAAGAGTTCTTTGAAAGCCGGTACACCAAATTAGACTTATTTGTCAAAAAGTCCATTTTTAAAAACGTTTTGGAAAAAGGTACAGTACTTGGGTCTAAAGATTGAAATGCCCTTTTTTATTTTTTTTATTCCTTAAAAAATGTAATATTACAGTTATCATAACTACTAAAATTTAGGCTCCATTAATTCAAAATCTTTTCAACTTTCTCAAAAAACCGTAATGTATCTCTTTGAGTTCCAAGAAAAAACGGTTGGTCATTACTTCTCTTCCCACCAAACCGCTGGTCTTCATTTCCTCTTCAAAGAAGGCGATTCATCTTCTTCCTCATCCCATTGTTGGTTTGATCAGAGAAAGGGTGTTGAATCTCCATTGTTCATCGATTCAATAAGTACTCAGGTTACAAACCCACGATCGATTGAAGAGGGTTTTCATGGAAGTGGGTTTTTTCGGCATTCTCATTTGAAGTGGGTTTTTTCGGCCTTCCTTGTTCTTGATCTTTGTTCGTTGTTTGAAGTGGGTTTTTTCGGCATTGTCACTGTGGTCGATTGTGGTTTGAAGTGGGTTTTATTCTGTGTTCGTTGATTGTTTTGATCGTCGAAAGAGGTAATGTATGTTTGTATATTTATGTGTGTGTGCGTGTATATATATATATATATATTGTGTAATATGATAATAGGTCATCTATAATCAAAAAATTTAGTACAATACAATTTTTCATTCCCTGTTTATTTAATTGTGTTTTATCATAATGAGTTACATTACACTTTTCATTTTTTTTTTGTGTCGTTAATTTCATGTATTAGAACCCTATTTTGTTTGTTTGAATATTGAATGGCCTCTAATGTTTATCTTTGTTGTTTTTTGGTCAAATTATGTATTGTTTATACCATGAATTGTTGGATGTTGTAACCCTTTTTTTTTTTCAATACTTGAATATATGTGTGAACTGGTGTGACTGAATACATTGTTTCAAGGCAATGTAACTAGTGTTTGTGTTGTGTTGAATTATACAATTCATGTTACACTTTTGGTGTTACGCTTTATTTGAAACACTTTTATTTTATTTCACTTAATCTTTTTGTTTTGGTTATTAAACTTTGTTGTACTGTGAAGTGTTAAGTGACACACTTGTTTATTATTCTTGTGTGTAATTATCTCTGATTACACTATGTGTTAATCGTAAATGTTGAATGTGTGAATATAACAATGTAAATATATAAAGTGTAACATAGAAAGGGTAACATTTATAAAAATGTGACAAATTTACCAATATCGTGTTTAATAATGGACAATTAGACACGAAATAGTATATTATGTTTATAAGGTGGTGTTGTTAGGTAATAATATATTGTGCAGGAATACAAAATGTTTATTCCTTGTTCAATAAGAATATGTTTTTTTTTTGTGTATTAACATAATAGGTTACATTACACTTTTTTTCTTGTTTAAGTTTATATATTTGAATCTTATTTTAATTGTTTGATAATTTAAAACTATTTGGAAAATTGTGTTTCGTTACACAATTAATGATACGCTTTTATAATTACACTTGTTTTGAAACACTTTTATGTTGTTATATTGTTAAATTTACACTGATTTTTTGTTGTTATTTTAAAAGATTTGTGTGTTGTGAATGTTAATTGTCCGGATTGTTTAGTGACATGGTTGTTTGTTCTTATACTCTGTGATTAAACATTTTTAAGATTACATGTGGATTGTGTTCACTTTACAATGCAATATACAAACTGTAACATGTGAATGGTAACACATGGAAGTGTAACAAATTTACCAAAATAGTGTAACAGCATACTAGTTTACCAACAAAAATAAAGAACAGTGGACCACTCCCAAACTCTCTCAATAACAATCCATTAGTGTACCATGTAACACTTTACACTTCACACTTCACACTTTACACTTTACACTTTACACTTTCAATGTGATATGAAAAAAGGAGACACTATTACTGGTTACATTCTGTTTTGTGCTTCACTGATTAGACTGTGTTATACATTGTGTTTGCTTCATTTTTTGAATGTGTCATACATTGTTATTTGATTCAATTATGTGGCTGTGTTATACACTATTTTTTTTTTGTTGTCTAATTTTGTTTATATTGTTATATTTTTAGTTAACCTTTTGGTATACTTTATACACATTTTTTCTTTGTCACTTCCCACCTCAGAGTTGTGACAGGGAAAAAACAAGTCGTGGAATCGAAGCAAGATGCTAAATACAAATCGAATTTTCTTGCGATAATTAGAGCAATAGATGAAATTAACATTAGTGAAGCACACAAAGTTATTTTGAGGAAAACACCATTCTGGTTACTATTTAAATCCATCATTGACAAAATACTAGACATGACATGGTGTAGGAAGAGCGATACTATCATACATGATGTAATTATGTGCTTCGATGATAATAAATCTAAATTTCACATTGGTGGCGAGGACATTAAATTGAGAAGGAGTGATGTGAAAATAATTTTTGCCATTGATGATGGACGCGATCCCATGGATTGTTTATCTCATGCTAAGAAAAATACAAAATTTGTTAAAAGGAGATTCAAGAAAGATAGCAGGTTGACATCAACTTTAATAAGGAGCAGATTGCTTGAAGAAGCAAGAAGTACAAACAAACATGACGTTGATGATGTTGCAAAACTCCTATGCCTATTCTTAATGGTTACACTATTTTTCACAACCACTTGGACAGCTATAGGATGTGGATTTGTTTTATACATTGAGAGTATAGATGAAATGAAGAAGTATGATTGGTCAAGTGCAATGCATGAATCTCTTATCTCTTCACTTCAAAAAAAGAGTAGCAGCCCATCTGGAGTTAGTAGATGTGTAATGTTGTTACTGGTAAGATGTTAACAGCCTGGTTGTATTTTCAATATTGTTTCATGCTGTCCAATAAACATAATGTAACTCATTTGATTAAATTAAATTTGCATTTATGTGCAGTATTGACTTTGTGAACATACAACAATTGTCAAGTCTGATAATCCAAATGCAATACCAAGAATTTTGAAATGGAAACTGCCGGAAATTCAAAGAGCAATGAAACAAAGGACACTTGGAAATTTGAAGTTAAAATATGTAAGTTGGTTAAATATAACAAATTCAAATTAATATGTCCATCTTACATTATTGTTATATCTTTTTTATGTTATCATATAACACACTTGCATCATAAAAAAGACTGTAATATCACAATGTAATGATACACTTGCATGTTACACTTGTGTTAATTAATGCATACAATTGTATATTTTTAAAATGTTGCAAAGGTTTTGAGACATAGATTGAGTAGAACAGCAGAAAAGAAAGTTTTTCTGAAATATAAGGGAAGCAAAAATCAAGAAGTGGGCCAATCTGAGATTAACGAAAAACCGAAAGTGATGAAGTTGAAAAAATAAGCAGACAAAAAAGGAGGAGAAGCAGATATAAGTAGACAGAAAAGGAGGCAGAACATGCACAAGTGGATAAAGAAGTTTTTGAATGTGATGGGAATAAGCAGGTAGAAAATGATACATTTCTTAGTGATGATGATGATTTTGTGGATGCAATTAGAGATGATGGACATTCAAATGTGGCATTTAAATCTCTTCTTGAGGCTACAATGAACAAAGCGACACACAATGTTGGTGCTGTAGGAGAAAAAGCAGACAGAAACACCCAAAGGCTTCAAGACATATTAAAGGAAAATGATGTGTACAAAATTGTTATAAGGAACATTGTTACAGACAAATGTTATTTGCAGCATTCTCATTCTGTTTATGCTGGTGTTGGGTTTGACAAACAACACTCTACATTCGCATTGAAAATT